ATAAGTATCAAAAGTAGTCAGACTAACTAAAAAAGTAGTTCGTTTTATTACTTTTTACTCTACTAAGGGGATGTAGTTGAAAATGTCTCATGTATTTTTTTCAGTGTACTCTTTTGCTCCCCTTTTTCTCATTTTTTCAATGTTTAATATTTTAAATATTTTAAATATTTTAAATATTTTTTCTGTTTTTTCTATTTTTAATCAGTTTTTCTAAAGACATCACTGTTTACTTAAAAGTATCAAACTGCAACGAATTGACGCTTGATGCCAAAATCTTCCATCTCAGTTAAAATTAAAGAAAATTTTTTTTTTCTTTTCTAATTCTTTTCACGCTACCTTTAAACTGTGTCAAAATTGGCAATTAAAAATTAATATAAAAGAGGAAAATCAGGGAATGCAGAGAAAAGCCAGTCCCTCATGAACAAAATACAATTATTTTCAAAAATTTTAATAAAATTCTTGTCAAAATTTCAATTATTTTCAAAAATATTCAAAAATTCAATGATTTTCAATATATCTACTATTTTAATAAAATTTTCTAAAAGAATTCAATTATTTAGAAATTTTTTATAAACTTCTTTCACAATAATTCAATTATTCACATAAATAATGAAATTTTTTACCGGAATTCAATTATTTTTATAAATGCCAAAATTCTTTGCAGGAATTCAATTATTTTCAATACAATTTTATTTTAATAGAATTTCTAGAAATAATTCAATTATTTTTAAAAATTGCACTTAAATTCTTTAAAACAATTCAATAATTGTTGCAAATATTAATAAAATTCTTTACAAGAATTCATTTATTTTAATGAATAATAAAATTCGTTACAGGAATGAAATTATTTTTAAAAAAAATTTAATAAAATTCTTACGCAAATATTTTATTATTTTCATATAATTAAAATTTCACAATATTTCAATTATTTACAAATTTTTTTATAAATATTTTTGTAGTAATTCAATTACTTTTACAAATAAAAATTTTTTTCGAAGAGATTAAATTATTTTCATAAATGATAAAAGTCATCGCAGAATTTCAAATATTTTTAATACAATTTTTATCAAATTTCTCGAAAAATGTAATTATTCTTTAACATTTTTTTGAAATTCCCCGAAAGAATTCAATTATTTAAAATTTTTTTATAAAATTCTTTATCAGAATTCAATTATTCAATAAGTTACTTATTTTTATATTTCAATAAATAAATTCTTGTAGAATTTTCTAATAAAAATTGATTTAAAAATGAATTTTAGTTAAAATTTTAGATAATTATTGAATATTAAAAGCATTATAGCATGAATTTTTAGGAATAATTGAATTTTGAAAAGTTTTAAAATAAAAGTCTTTTGAAAATTTTAATTTTTCATACTTTTAATTAACAGTTCTATAGAACTAATTTTTTTTGGAAAAATTTTAATTCCAATTCTTTTGAAATTATTTGCTGTTTTTATTTTCTAAAATATATTTAATTGAATAATTTCCGAATAATCGAAATTTCGTAAAATTGAATTACAGGGTGGTCGCATAATTTTATTTTCAAAATTCCCTGACTTTTCCCTGACTAATTTTTTATTTTTCCTGACTAAGAAATTTTATTAAATTATTTAATATTCTACATTGTTGATTTAAATGTTTATAATGCTTTTTAATTAAAAATTCTATTTATAAAGGAAAAAATAAGATAATTAAAAATTGTGATTTCTTTCCATCAAAATTTCCTGAATTTTAAAGAATTTTTAAAAATTCCCTGACTTTTCCCTGATTTTCAGTTTTTCCCTGACTAGCGGCCACCCTTTAATTATAAACCAATAGATTTGATAATTCTCCAAGAACTTTTTTAAAAATTATTAAAAATAATTGTTAATTAAATTATTTAAATTATTTTAATTTTTAAAAATAATTGTTAATCATTTTTTAATTATTTTAATTATTGAAAATAATTAAAAATAATTCTTAAAGAAGAATTTTAGTTAAAAATTCTATAGAAAAAATAATAATTAAATTGAAATGATGGAAATAATTTTGAAGAAATTACACTAACAATATTCTTCTCTCAAAATTTGAATTATGGTTAAAAGTTACTAATTTGATAGCAAAATGATAATCATCGATTCAGATAGTAAGATTTTACTAATAAAATAGTTAATAATGACTAATTATTAGTTAAATTTATTTGTAGGTTATGTCAACAAAATAACTGAAATGTTTGGTAAATAATTTAATTATAGTGAAATTTGACTATTTTTTAGTTATTTATTTAATAATAATTAGTCATTTCCCACTTATAATCAGTCATTTTTTTACTAATTGCTAAAGCAAAAAGTCAGCTACGTTTTTACTAATAATTAGTTATTTTTAACTAATATTTTGTTTAACTTTTTTTTTATCTTTTTAACTTTTTTTTTAATTTTTCAGCTAATATAAAAATGATTTTATCAGTCATCTTTAATTATTATTAATTTAAATTTATTTGAAGGACCTTAATTATTATTATAAAACATGAGTCAAAGACTCGGAGTGATCGATTTCTTCATGTTTTATAATAATATTCTTATAAAGTTTGTTGGATTTTGTTCAGTATTTTTCTTTTTTTTCTGTACAATTTTTTGTACCCCTCCTTCTTTTCTCTGCATTTTTTTCACCTCTCTTTTTCTCACGTTTTCCCTTTTCTTCAGTCGATCTGTTGCGAAATCGCGAAAGACCTTTGCCACACCACACGAGAAACTTTAACTCTCCCTTTCTCTCTCTCTCTCTCTCTTTTTCTCTGGTTAAGAGAAAGAGTGCGAGAAGGGGGATGTGAATTTTCGTTGGTAGGAGCTTTGAACCCGCGAGGATTGAGGATTTTCAAGAGAAGAATTTTAATGTGTACTTTCCTAGATTTACGACGTCACCGCTCCTCGGGATACATTTACTTAACGGCCCTTTTGGTATATAGAAGAAGGGAATTCGCCACTCGTGCCGCATTGCGATATCATAAAAAAAAGAGGTAAAGAAAGAAAAAAAATTGCAATAATGATTCACAAAGGAAAGTAAATATCGAGAATTCATTTTTTTTTGCTTCGAATTGAAGAAAACTAACCTTCGAAGAGTAAAAAAGGAAAAAAAAAATCTCGTGGGAATTTTCTCTTTTCTTCTCTCGTTTCATTTGTCACTCTCTGGTTTACGAAGAAAGTACAACTTTACCCCGTTTCCCTTTAGTTCCCTTTTTCCCCTTCTTCCATCAAGTGGGAGAGAATTTCTCTCTCTCTCTCTCTCTATTTTCTTTAAAGAAAGAAAGTCTCTCTTTCTCTCTCTCTTTCTCACTTGCTTGATCACCCTTTGGAAGCTCACAGTGCAAAATTTCCCAGACCACCCACCAAGGGGTAAACTCGAGACACGATTATTTACAGAGCGTCAAACAGCCAGGGTGCTGGTTATTATTTCCTCTTTTTATTTTTTTTTACTTTCAATTTCTTTTTTGCTTTTAGAATTTTTTTTTATTCTTCTTTCTTTATATTTATGAAGGATTCCCGGGGTGAGATTGCTTTTTGGGAAGGAGAGAGAGAGAAAAAAAAAGAAAAGTGCTTGTGGTCTGGGGTCATTATGTGTGATGCGGAGAATTTACATTCTTATAATGCGTCTTCCCGGCTTGCTAAAGAAGCTTATATGGGTTATAATGGAGGAAACGATTTTTTTTTTCGTCACTGATGTTAAAAAAGAGATCAATGTCCCCTTGTATGATTATATAAGGCCACCCTCGCTCACATTTCCGCATTTTTTCGCTCTCGTTGATTTTTTTCTTGGATTTTTTTTTCTTTCGTTTTTTTTCCACTTATTTCCTTTTTGATATTTGACAATATATATGAATAGAGGGAAATTGTCGACAGATCTGTGATATATAATTATGTGTATAATGTGTGAAATAATAAATTTATGTATGATAAATTTTAATAATAAATTTATATATACAGTGTATATATAGTAAATTATAAATAAAATTTATTTATGGTAAATTATAATATTAATTTATGTAATATAAACAAAGAAAAATTTTATTTAAACCAAATATAATTTATTTGAGTTAAATAAAAGTATATTTGTTGTGTATTTCTGTCTTAATATTCTTTTCTATAACTAAAAATGGATTTTATTTCTGTATTAGAAATTGCAGTAGTACAAAAAGATACAGTCTGACTAAAAGCTGTTTTTACTACTGAAAAATTTAATATGTACATTATTTGGTTAAATATTATAGTGACCTAAAAGGTAGTGTCTGACTAAAATCGATTTTTACTACTGAAAAAATTAAATAAGAAAAATTAATATATTTATCACAAATTTGTTGTAAATTTCTGTCTTCATAATTTTTTTGCATTTCTAAAAATAGTTTTACTACCGAATTAAAAGATAAGAGTAAAAAAACTGTCTGACTAAAAACAGTTTTTACTACTGAAAAACATTATATAAACAGAAATAATGTTTATCACCTATTTTTTGTACATTTTTTGGTAAAATATTAATTTTTACCACTAGAGTAGTTTTTACTTCTGAATTATAATCTATAAAAGCGTCTAAACAGTATTGTCTGACTAAAAAGTGTCTTTACTACTGAAAAATTTAATAAGTACATTTGACTAAATATTATATTGGCCTAGAAGGCAGTGTCTGACTAAAATCGATTTTTACTACTGAAAAAATTAAAAATAAGAGAAATTAATATTTATCACAGATTTGTTGTATATTTCTGTCTTCATATTTTTTTGTATGTCTCAAAATAGTTTTACTACCGAATTAGAAGCTACAGTAGTCCTAGAAGACATTGTCTGACTAAAAGCAGTTTTTACTACTGAAAAACATTTAATAAACAGAAATAATATTTATTGACTATTTTTTGTCTATTTTTTTGTCAAAATATTATTTTTTACGACTAAAATAGTTTTTACTTTTGATTTATAATTTATAAAAGCGTCCAAAAAGTATTGTCTGACTAAAATACAATGGCGCCACTAGCGCCACGAACACGTGTTACAGATCGCTCCGTGTTTTTAATAAAAATTTATGGATAATGTGAGACGTTTTAATATTTTTGATTGATTTTTGTTGTTGGTCTACTTGCCCATTGTTTGTACAATAATTTTTGTGTATATCCGGACAATCTGAATAACGTGAGGGATGAATTTGATTTTCTAACCTCAAAGTGTCCACGTGCATTATGTTACTTTGAGATTATGTCCGAACAACAGGATTCTTTATCTATCGTGAAGACATGTGTACGTTGTAATAATAACCTAGTCCGTGGCGTGGTTTCTTGTTCGGGTTGTGCTCTCCCATATCACCCCTCATGTGCTCGATTATCGTCGAAAACCTCTTCTGGAAGTTTTAACAAGTGTTGTGGTTCGCGCCCTAGTTCACCTACTATCATGTCTACAGACGACTTTCAAAAGATGCTGACTGATGCTATAGCTGGTCTTCATGTTAAGCTGTCAGAAGAAAATTCCGTGGTTTTAAATACTGTTAAGAGTATTGATAAAAAACTTGACAGTCTTGTGGAAAGGGTTTCTTCAAATGAAAAAACTATCAAGGTCATGTCAAGCCGATTAGATAAAGTAGAAGGTACGTTGAAAAAAAAATTCGATTTTCTACTCGATTCTACCACCATACAAAACAAAACTTTAATTTTCGATGAAATTGAGAAAAGAATTAATAAGCGCAATAATTTAATTATTTTTGGACTCCCGGAACATGACTCCCATAATGCCGAGGTTGTCAAACCTGGTGAGACCATAGATATGTCATCTACAATGAATTTATTGTCGACATTAATTGTTCCAAATAAACTGCCTAAAATTAAAATCACTCGTATCGGAAATCCTACTCAAGATCCTTTTAAATTTCGACCTTTAAAAGTTCACTGTGAAAATCCGCAGGTGGCGACAGTTCTTTTACACAACCTCTCCATGGGTTTGAAAAACAAAGATTTGTTGAAGACTCTAAACATTCGGAACTTGTGGGTAACAATGGACAAAACCAAAGAACAGTTGGAACAATTAAAATTGCTGAAACTGGAGTTGCGGACCCGTCAGGAAGCAGGAGAGGGGAACCTCAGGATTGTCTACAGGAACAATATACCATATATAATACAGATAAGAAAGTCGGCAAAGTAGGATCTTCTTATCAACATATTTCGCATACGCATGATTCTCAAACTCATCCAACTCGGCCGTCAGATGGTGTTCTACATTCTTCTTCCTTCGAAATTTATTATCAAAATGTAAGAGGCCTGCGCACTAAACTACTAACACTAAGAAAGTCAATTCCTGTAAACTCAGCTGTTGTTTTTGTTTTCACCGAAACATGGCTTCATTCAAGTATAAATAGCAATGAACTTGGTTTTAAAAATTTTACTATCTATCGATGTGACAGATCATCTCTAACTAGTTCTTCCCTTCGTGGCGGAGGAGTGCTTATTGCCGTGAACAATGATTTTCCGAGTGTTTTGATACCTACTCGTTGCAGTACAATTGAAATGGTTTTTATACGAGTTAAAGTATTTGGAGTGTGGCATATTTTTGGAGCAGTTTATATCCCACCCAACTCGAATGTTAATGTTTACAATGATTTTTTTCGAAACTTTAAATGTTATTAGCGACAAAATGCCAAATGTGAATATTCATTTGTTGGGGGATTTCAATATGCCATTTATTGAATGGGAAAATTGTGACACCTCTCTTCCTTCCTTTGGTTCTTATCTTTTGCCTAAATTGAAATACGGTTTCACTGGTGTTCTGAATAAAATTTACTTACTTGTTTTGGAAAATTTAAACGTTTATAATTTACGTCAGTTGAATACTTTTCACAATAAGTGTGGTTCACTTTTGGATTTGATACTGTCAAACAGTGAGTATAGCAATGTACATTTATCAGATGATTTGTTACTTTCAGCAGATGATTACCATCCACCTTTGATTTATGTAATAAATTCTCCTGTATCTTTATATGAGTTGTGTGACCGCTCTATTAAATTCAATTTTAAAAAAGCGGATTATGTTTCTATTGATAAATATCTATCTGATATTAATTGGGATGAGGAATTTAAAAGTGAAATAAGTGCTTTAAACTCTGCTGTAAATTCATTAGATTTAAATAATAATAATAATTTTTCTGTTCCTATTGATAAAATGATTTCTATACTTTGCTCTCATATTGAACGTGCTTTTACATATTTCATCCCAAAAATACGCCAATTTACATCAACTTATCCTGTATGGTTTTCAAACGATTTAAAAAATTTGGTTATTCAAAAGAAAATGGCACATGCTACTTTTAAACGTACAAATGATTTAGCTGATTATGAGTACTTTTCTGTCCTTCGAGCAAGATGTAAAATGCTTTCTGAACAATGTTATCATCAACATATTATTGACACCGAGACTAATTTAATTCGTAACCCAAAAGCATTTTGGAGTTTTATAAACAACAATAAAAACAATAAAAATAATTCTGCATTCCCTAATGAGATGTATTTTAACCAACAAACTGCTAACGACAATTTTAATATTTCTAATTTGTTTGCAGAGTATTTTAAGTCTGTTTATAACACTTCTGATGACATGAATGATTTTTCTTTCGATTGCAATTGTGAGGTTGATTTAAATCTTAATTTAATAACTAAGAGAGAAATCGAGGCAAAGATTCGAACTCTGAATAATGCGAAGGGAGCTGGTTGCGATGGCATTCCAAATTCTTTTCTGAGATCGTGCTGTTCCTCAATTATTAAACCTCTTCTTATTATATTTAATTCTTCTCTTATATCAGGTTATTTTCCTGAGTGTTGGAAACTGGGTATTATTTCACCCATTTATAAGGGTGGTGATAGATCTAATATTAAAAACTACCGACCGATAACAATTCTTAGTGCAATACCTAAGCTCTTTGAAAGTTTGATATATGATCAAATTTACTCGGCATTTAAAAATGTTTTGATTGAGGAGCAGCACGGTTTCAGAAGGAAACGCTCCACATCAACGAATTTATGCGTTTTTACTCAGTACTTGTCAACCTCATTGGATAGAGGACTACAAGTGGATACAATTTATACCGATTTTTCAAAAGCATTCGACAAAGTCGATCACAGTATATTAATGTATAAACTTAGGGCTTATGGTGTCTCGAATCCCACTTTGAGGTGGCTTTCTTCTTATCTTCATAAAAGAAGGCAGATTTGTCGAGTTAATGGTACCTTTTCTAACGAATTTTTTTCTTCGTCTGGTGTACCACAGGGTTCCCATCTTGGTCCCCTTCTTTTTATAATTTATATTAACGATATAAGAAATTGTGTTCAGAATAGTAAATTTTTAAGTTACGCTGACGACTTTAAATTATTTAAAGTCATAGTTTCAATTTTTTGTGCCCTTGAACTACAGGAGGATCTTGATAGGGTTTCCCAGTGGTCCACCAAAAATCGTCTGCCTTTAAATATTACCAAGTGCACCATAATGTCATTTCATAGGAAATTAAAAATTGTCAAATTTTATTATAATATATCTGGTACAGTACTTGAACGGGTGAGTCAGCAGCGAGATTTGGGATTAATTATGGACCCTGCTCTAAATTATAACTTTCACATTGATCAGGTTATTAAAAAAACATCAAAAGCACTTGGCCAAATAATAAGATTTGGTACAGTTTTTCATAACCTTCGAGTCCTTAAAATATTATTCTTTTCTCTTGTTAGACCCCATATTGAATGCTTATCAACCATTTATTATCCTCAATATCTTTATCAGCAAGAAAATTTAGAAAAAATACAACATAAATTCTTAAGATTTGTCGCAAAACAGTTGAATATACCATTTGATTTTTTTAAACATGATTATACTGAATTGTACTTAATTACTAAAATCCCAACTGTCCATAGTAGATTTATAAAATTGGACCTTCAATTTCTTTATAATATTATCAATAGTCAAATTGATTGTCCAGAGTTGTTGTCTCAGATCTCGTTTATGACTCCTCATCTTTGGTTAAGAAACCGTCAATCAAATAGACTGACATTCAAGGTCCAATATTCACGCACAAATCTTGGAGGTAATTCGCCTCTCTTACGAATTTGTCGTGAGGCAAATAGTGCTCACGTCATGAAAGATGTCGACTTTTTCGCGAGTTCAAAATTAATGTTTCTGCGTGGTTTGGCCACTTATTTGAAAACCGTTGATTAGAATGCGAGCGATAACACTTAGTTAGATAATTCATGCAATTTAGATTTAAGTTAGTTTTAATAAAAGGGCGTTCTCTTTTGTAAGCCCGTAAAAATTGTTAAATAAATAAATAAATAAATAAATAAAATCAATTTTTACTACCTACTGAAAAAACTAAATATGAAAAATTAATATTTATCACAGATTAGTTGCATATTTCTGTCTTTATATTTAAAAAATCCAGTAGTCCTAAAAGGTCTTCATATTATTTTTTGTATTTCTAAAAATAGTTTTACTACCGAATTAGAAGATAAGGGTATAAAAACTGTCTGACTAAAAACAGTTTTTACTACTGAAAAAGTTTAATATACAAAAACAATGTTTATCCATGATTCGTTGTGGGTTTCTATCTCAATATTATTTTTTAAAAACAAAAACTAGATTCAACTACTGAATTAGAAACGGCAGAAGTCATAAAAAGTGATGTCTGACTAAAGACAGTTTTTACTACTGAATCAAAAATTATATAACCAAAAATAATTTTTATCACTGATTTCCTTTTGTTTTTCGTCTTAATATTATTTTAGTAAAAATATAGTTTTACTATCGAATTAAAAATTACGATAAAAAAAATTGTCTGACTGAAAATTGTTTTTACTACTGAAAAAGTTTAATAAGCGTCTGACTAAAGTCAGTTTTTACTACTGAAAAAATTAAATAAGAAAAATTAATGTCTATCGCAGATTTGTTGCATATTTTAATCTTTATATTTTTTTTATTTTTCAAAAAATAGTTTTACTACTTAATTTGAAACTACAGAAGTTTAAAAAGACAAGGTCTGACTAAAATCAGTTTTTACTACTGAAAAAGTTTAATATAAACAAAAGCAATATCTATCACCGATTTTTCGTTCATTATTTGGCAAAATATTATACTGTATGACTAAAAATAGTTTGTACTACTGAGTTAGAAACTACAGTAGTCGTACAACGTAGTGTCTGACCAAAAACAGTTTTTACTACTGAAAATCATTAAATAACCAGAAATAATTTTTATAATCGATTTCTCATGCATTATTTGGTTAAATATTATAATGTACGACTAAAAATAGTTTGTACTACTGAATTAGAAACTCCAGTTGTCTTAAAAGGTAGTGTCTGACTAAAAATAGTTTTTACTACTGAACAAGTTTAATATAAACAAAAATAATGATTATCCACGATTCGTTGTGGCTTTCTGTCTCAATATTATTTTTTAAAAACTAAAACTAGATTCAACTACTGAATTAGAAAGGCAGAAGTCATAAAAAGTGGTGTCTGACTAAAAACAGTTTTTTCTACTGAAAATATTTAGAGAAAATAATGTTTATCACAGATTTGTTGTATATTTTTGTCTTCATATTTTTTTTTCTATTTCTTAAAATAGTTTTACTTCTGAATTAGAAGCTACAGTAGTCCATAAATATATATGTCTGACCAAAATCTGTTTTTACTACTGAAAAAGATTAAATAACCAAAAAAAAAATATGTTTATCACCGATTTTTTGTATATTTTTTGGCTAAATATTATTTTTTACAATTAAAATAGTTTTTATTTCTTAATTAGAAACTATAGAAGTCCAAATAGTACCTACTATCTGACTAAAAGAAGCTTTTACTACTGTAACACAAATTACATAATTTCAGTAAAGTTTTGTCTGACCAAAAATATTTTCTACTACTAGTATCTATTACAGATACAAAAAAGTGCTAAAAATATTTAATAATTACGCTCCGAGAAATTTTTATTTAAACCAATTTTATTTTATTTTTTTACCATTTTATTTTCTTATTTGATTTAAATAAGAGTATATATTCGTTTTAGTGACTTCTAAAATATTTATTTGTTTGAAACAAAAATTTTATTTGACGCAAATAAAATTTTTATTTTATTTTTTATTTATTTTTATTTCATTTTATAATTTTGAATGAAACAAATTTTGATTTATTTGCAACAAGTAGAAAGTTTAGTTGGTTCCTGTAGCAAATATAAATATTTTCTGGAAGAAATAAATTAGAATAATTTGCAATTTTTCTCTTTTTGAGAAAAAAAAATCATCGAATTATCAATTAAATAAATATAAAATAAGAAAATTGTAGTCTAATTGTTTTATATTGTTTAAAGAAAATTATTGTTGCTATTTTCGTGAGTTGGGGTTGACTTTGTTTTGTTAATGAAAATTGAGGAGATATCTCTCGCACATTTTGCACAGTTTCTTCGTGTATTTGTAGGGATAGGAAGAATGGGGGTTTTCGTTCTGTCTGCCGAGAGCAAATGAGGCTTAATCCTCTTAATCATGGTGCAAGCTTATATTCCTGTTTATATGAGCCCTCAGGACGAGTCCTTTGTCTCAATGTGCTTTATAGTGTTCGCAGGAAATGAAACTTGAAATAAAATAAATTTCTCTATATATAAACAGACAGACAGGAAAAATTATCTAAATTTGTTAACACATTGTTTATTTCACTGATAATTTATGTTTACTATATTGTTTTTTTTGTTTTAATTTTTTTAGTAAGTAAAATCTATTTTTTCCCCCTAGATTTTAATTTTTGTTTATTAAGTAAATATTAAAATTTATGTCAACAATTTTTGAATAAATTATGATAATATTTATTTACTGTTAACTCGTATAAATAAAAATTTACGAGTTAACAGTAAATAAATAACATATTTTTGAATAAATAATAAATTTACGAGTTCAATATTTATAACTCGCATTTATAATATTTATTTATATTTATAAATTCGAAATATAAGATGGAAAAAAAAATTCTGAATTAATTATAATTTATTTATTTGTTCATCCAATAATTGTATGTCTCTATATCTTTTTTCGTATTTAATTCAATTTATAAAGCCATATTGAAAATTTGTTTCATTTTATACTATTGAGACAATTTACAGTTATAAAAATAGGTGACAATATTATTGATAATATAATTATAAAATTTAAAATATTGTGAATTTTTTATCAGTTTAAGAAACAAGAATAGAATTATTGAGGGCAAAAAAATTAGAGATATGGTCGATTAATTTGAAAAGTGATAGACATATTGAATTAGTTTTCATATATTTTTGAAAAATTAATTTTTGTCTGAAAATTCTACAAACGAATTACATTATAGAAACAAGAATTTAAAATAAAAGAAATTTTCGATTTACTCAAAACGGATAGACACTCAATTATTTAAAGTCGATAATATTGAAATATGAAAGAGTAAATTTAAACTTACGTATAATAAAGATACTCTGTCAATTTTTATCTGTTATTTATTAGGAAAATCTGATTAAATAACATTTCATTTGAATTTTTATTAATTTACTAATTTGAATCTCCGATATATTATCATATTTATTATTTCGCAGTTTTTTTTTAATATCGATTTAAATAAAATAAAATATAAAATCATTCTTATAAAGAGATGAAAAATTTATTTGAAAATTTTTTAGTAGAAACACATTTATTTTTATTAAATTATATTATTTTATTATTAATATTATTATTATATTATTTGGAATTTATTTTTATCTCTTATACTTAGAATTTTATTTTATGCTTAGAATTTATTTTTACCTACTAATTAAAATTCATTTCCATTTATTATTTTGAATTTATTTTCACTTTAATCCATAAACGAGGAGAAAAAAAATTATCGTCAAATTTCACACAAGTTTTCTGCATATTCGACGAAAACTTTTTTAAAATATGATACAGAAATATACAAAATATTATATTTTATTTCACTTTTAATCCCCATAAATAGATACAAAAAAAAATTATCGTTAAACTTCAGAAGGGTTTTTATATATATTGAAAGTTTAAAATAGAAAAACTATTGAACTGAACGTTTTATCAATGTTCAAGTTAGCGACTTGTAATTTGAGAGCTTTTCTGGTTTGTTTTTTATTTTTGTCTGTTTTGAAAAAAGTTTGTTTAAAAATCTCCAATTAACCAGTGAGTGTAAGATCACTGGTCATGTATTTTACTCTTTCCACCAATAGATTTTAATTGGAACGGAAACCGAGTACAAAAAGCGGATTACTCAATTCCTCTTCTTCCTGGTGTGTATCGAGAATAACAAAAAACAAAAAACCCAGAAAACAAAACACCAACAATCAACCTTACGCTTAGTTTTTTTTTCTCTACTTCACGGGACACAAACTTTCAGCAAATTTCCTCGAAGTGAAGACAATTGAATTTTTTTTCTTATCTAATGAAATGTCTTAACTGATATTTACTGTTTATATATCTCACCGGGTAAATTAAATGAAAAAATAGTACTTGCTTTTTGGAAAAATGCTCAAAGGTAATTCTCAAAAAGTTGAAAATGCTTTAATTAACAAATTTTTTCTATTTACTTAAATATTAAATGTTGAAAAAAACGTTTCATTTTATAATTTAATTATTTACTTTATTTATTTATTAATAATAAATTATAGTAATTTATTATTAATAAAGTAAATATAAATGGAAAGTAAACTAAAATTATTCAGTTTTTAATCATTTTTACTGTAAATAACAATTATTATTTATATATTTATTATTTATATTTTATATCAACCTGCATAACCTGGAAATGTCAGGAAATTTTAATCAGAATTCTGGAAAATTATTGTTTTCTAAAGTTATTGTGCTTATTCTCAAAATCTAATTTTACTTAAATATTGCAAAATCAATTAAATTTTAAAAGAGTTGCGTTTACAATTTTTAAAAATAGATAAACTTCAAAAGGTTTTAATTAAAAATTTTGTAAAATTTCAACTTTGAATGAATTAATAAATTAATAAAAATTTCACAGGAATTCTATTATTTACAAATTTTTCATAAATTTCTTCGCAATAATTCAATTATTTTCATAAATAATCAAATTTTTTTGCAGAGATTCAATTATTTTTATACATAATAAAAAACTCATCGCAGAATTTTAATTATTTTTAATACAATTTTAATGGAATTTCTCAAAAAATGTAATTAGTCTTAAAAATTTTATTGAAATTCATCAAAGAAATTCAATTATTTCAGAAAGCCTTCCTTTAATTTATTTATT